CCACTTGGACTACTCACTTGAGCAAAATGACTTTAGAAGGTAACCTGTCCATTAACATTCTTCAAGCAAAGAAGCTAACTCTGGCAGGAACAGGATTGTCCCAAATGGCTTTACAATGTATAGGATCTAGAATTCTTTGAGTCGGCAATGTTAAAGAATATGCTTTCTCGACCACATATGCCCCACCTCCATTAAATTTCCACACCCTCTTTTCTTCTTAATTTCCCTTGTGAAATCTTAGCACCTCTTAACAAGTCTAGCAACAGTTTACTTTCTTCCTCACATTCCCTCCCAAACGGACATCTTCTCCAAACAGGATTCCATTTCCACTCACATTCGCTCCACATACCCACCACGCAAACTCTCACCTCGATCCTTCGACCCCATCAGATTTTTCAATCTAGGAAATTCTACCCATAAATTTACTCCATTTAACCGAATTAACATCCTCCCAAAACTTTTTTGCCCATCTCCTAATCCCCATTTGAACCCTCTACCAACAATTTTCCCTCACCTTACTCTCCATTCAATAGTTTAAATCATACAATTTGTCACTGTCTGAACTGCATAAATTGTGAACATGAATACCTGACCCCTGGGTCGTGGGCTCCACCATGGTTGTTTGCTACTTTGCTTAACAGCCTTAACTCACTTCCCAAAGGTTTCTTGGCTGTTCAAACTTCAGACCCAGTCCAATATTATTTCAGGCCCACTGAGTTCCTCTTGAGTTATTCTTTGTGGTTCCAATTTTTTTTTTTTTATCTGAAAAAAAAAATTATTATAAATGAAGCACAAATAATACTCTTGCCTATTACATTAACCGATCATGGGGTACATAAGTAAGGCTTTGAAAATCTACAAAATCCATTCCAACTACTTCCAATCAATAGCCTCTTGCGATCAACAAAAAGTCCAAAATAAGGATCCCGATTCCCGAAGCCTAATCCAATAATTGCCCTTGGAGACCTAAACCACATCTCTTGACAAATGTCAGGATAAAGATGGACGTTTATTATTATTATTATTATTATTATTTTAAACATGAAAAATTTTAAGGATCGGAGAAATTATTTCAAGTAATTAATAAAAATAAAACTCTCAAAGCTTGAATCTCAAATTCTTAAGTTTTGTTAATAAACTAATTGATTTGATAGATTGGTTCGGATAAAGATGGACTTTAGTACCTTGTTTGGGCTGTCCACGTAGTCCTTTGAAAACATTCTGGTTCCTCGATAGTCAAATGGACCCAGTATTTACCTCAGGTCCAGTATTCATCTTGACAATCTCTAAGCCCAGTTTTTTAAGTTTTACCTTACATAACAAGAAGTACACATTAGGACAGTGGTTAACGCCACAGCCTAGAAGTGTTACAGTACCTTTGGGTTGAAAGAAAGGAAAAGGACTAGAGTGGAAGAAAATGGAATAATACGATATATTTTTTTTATTTAGATAAATTCATATTCTTTTTAAATTTTTTATTAATCGAATAAAAAAATTTAATCCCTTCTCTCTTTTATTTTCTTAAACTAAACATATTATTAAGGTATATAAATTTTAATTTTTTAAAATAATCAATTATGATATTTAAATACATCAACATGTGATTTAAATTTTAAGTAATAAATATTACTTATTTTATTATTCATTAATTAACTATTATAATTATTAATTTTTTTCATAATAAAATTAAATAAAATCAATGTTTTAAAATATAATACTTCAATATTTATGTAGTTCCAACCATTTTTTATATACCACCATGACCATGCCGCCCATAGATGCATAAAGACGAGAAGACATGCCCCAATCAATTGCGAATATACGGTTTTCTTGATTTAAACATGTCGAGTGGAAGATCCACAACAACCACCTAAAGAGAAATTTATAGATATATTATACACTCACATTGTTATCAATTGATTCTAAATTAAACTTCTTCTTTTTCTTTTTCTTTTTCTTTTTTTTTTAAAGCAATTATATGAAAGGGAATAAAAATGAAGTATTTTTCGCATCCTAAAAATTCAAATCGATTAAATTGAAATTTAAGATTTTGTTAGTGCCTTCCGTGAGTGAGGGTTTGGGTCGTGTCTCAAATCATCGATAATTATATAATTATAATAAAATATTTGATTTTAAATTTATAATTATAATATATTATTAAATAAATATATAATATTATAAACAAGTTATTAAATAAATAATTAATAACATAATCACATATCATAATTATAAATTTATAATATTATATAATATTATAACTATTATTTTTGAATTATCATCTCAAACAGTCTTCTGATCAACTGCCTTACTAACTAGCTAATAATCAAACGTGAGACCTTCCTAGGGCGGTGGATTCGTTAATAGCCGTTTCCATCCCAATCGCAGGTTCTTTCATATTACCCACGTATAAATCTATCATTTGAAACACCAATTCTCTAATGCTCTGATTGGAAACTTGAATTTGGCAGTATGTATTTGAATTTGAAGTGCTCAAATTTAATTTTACTGTTTGTTTTTACCTAAATAAAATGTAATTGAATTTGGATGAAATACATGTATTTTAAGAATGTAATTATCAAGAGTAAATACCATGCATTTCAATTTCACCCTAAAACCCTCGAATTTCAATTTTGAATTGAATTTGGTCTGCACTCTCTTCTCACCGACGGCGATGAGCCTTCACCGTCCGCCCTAACTCTGCCGCTGCTCTCTCACCTTTGCGTCGTCGGCCACCCAACCTCTCCCAATCTGGATACATGCTCTCTCACCAGCAAACCAATTGCTGCTACAAGTAAATAAAGACAGTCCTTCAAGTTGCTGAGGCGGACCTTCATGTTGTTGAACAACAGGAAACAGAGATGTTTCCATGGATGATCTAACTTCACAGTCAGAACTCCCACAAAGCCGACGGCTGCTCCAAGTTCCATACCCAGTTTAAAACATTTCCTGAATTCAGCTATGTCTCTGTTTTTTGGTTTGCCCTCCGATTTTTCATCATTTGTGCAAGTTGATGTTAGAGGAAGCCCACAGCGTGCAGGATTCCCGACAAATGAATAAGCATCAAAGGACTGCATCTGGGTTGATAATGGGATTCTCCCTGAAAAGTTGTTGTACGATAGATTCAAAGTGCTGAGAAAATTTAATTGGGACATGCTCCCGGGAAGATGACCTGAAAGCTGGTTCAGTGACAGATCGAGTGACTCTAATTGTCTCATCTGCCCCATATCTGAAGGAATCCTTCCTGTCAACTGATTTCTTGATAAGTTCAATTCAACCAGTTCGAAGAGAACTGATATATGGACTGGGATCACTCCTGTTAATTTGTTGCTTGAAAGATCAATAATTTTCAAAGTCTTGAGATTTCCATTCTCATAAGCCCGCTCCATTCCTTTCCACATTACAGATGCTTTGTCAGCACTTTCAAAGTGCATTGTTTCTTTATTTAAAATATATAATATTTTGATATAAAATATAAGCTGAAAGTTTGGGTTGGAATTGGGGGCAATAGATATGAAAGGCTAATTGTGTTAATATACACCCAGTATTTGAGAGAGGGGGCCATTTTATAAGATTCTTTTTGGCAGTTGATTAGCTACAACCTTGTGCCAGCATTAGTGGTCTCTTTGGCATTTCCAAGTTTTGGATCTCTTACTTCACCTTTCGTAAAGGTTTTTGCCACTCTATCCAGCTTCTCTAGCAGAGCAATTTAAGTGCCAATTTAAGCTGGTTTTCTACTGCTCTCAGCCATATCTACTTCTCTTGGAATCTGCTCGTCAGACACTTCATTAGCTGTTTTCTCCGTGCTGCTCTGCTCTTGTGATAGTGCTACACTTGATTCCTAATATAAGATAGAAACATGAGCTGTTTAGCTTGATTTTTTTACAAATTATCTTCTTTATTAACTATTGTAAATGACCGAAGAAGGAAGGAGGATTGGGTTTACAAGTTACTTAACTCTTCAATTTGAATATCTTTTGCTATGGTTTTAAATGTTGCATTGTTCTCCTCAGCACCTAGAAATCCATTCTTTAAATTGTTAATTTTGATTTTATTAAATTTAAATAATAATTAGAAGAAAATTTAATTTAATAGAGAAATTCAATTTTAAATACATAGTATTTTAAAATATCCAAACAA